AGGGAGCCCAACGAAAACCCAGCCCCGTCGCCGGAAACATGAACGGAGCCCAACGGGAGCCCAGCCCCGTTGCCGCGGCCCACCCATCCAGCCACCGCGGCCCACCATTTTTCTGAGGAGAGAACCCCAAACCGTACCTGTTTGGGGAATCATGTCGAACGCGGCATGTCCTGACCGAGCGGGACCAGGTTATGCCCCCCGGCTCGGGGTTCCACTGTTCGTTGTTCGCGAACATTCGCGAACTACACTTGGCTGATGATGAGAGACACCTCGGCCGCCTATGTTGACGTCAAGTTCTTCAGCGGCACAGCAACGAGGTGCTCTTTCACTGGGTCTTCAGAGGGCACCGAACGGACTCAGACCTGTCGGTTCAGAAGCAGTTCTGCGATGAGGCTCTGATCCGATCGGCGAACGAAGGCTGGTCCAAGCCGTCTTTGTCGATTCTCAAGCAGATGCACAACCACTTCAAAAAGCAAGTCCAAGCGCACTTGCGGCCCTTCAGTGGTAGGCCCTTTGAGGAGAGAGCACAGTGCCGGCATTAGTTTCGGGTGGGCATTTGGGAAGAACAATCATTGGACGGAAGGCGGCAGCAGCAGCAGCAGCAGCACAGGGCAAGCAGATCTCCATTGCGCAGATCAAGGAAATGCTCAAAAGTGTTGGGCGGAAAACTCCATGCCCAGATGACTGGAGTTTTGCAGATCTGGCCCGCTTTCCCGATGAGGCCCCGTCAGGTTTGGTCTTTTTCGAAGCAGAGCAGCAGCAGCACTGGCCAGAGGTCATTTGCCACGTTGCAGTGGCATGGCTGGCCAAAAGTGTGAAGGCAGAGAGGCCTATCAGCTTTACCCGTATCATGTACAGGTTGTGGATGACCATGCGGCAACACTTCCTGACGAGATGGTTGGAAGATGTCAACCCCAAAAGCCTTTGGGACAAGGCTGTGAAAGGTTGCGATGCGACACCTTCACTTCGTCGCATCGCCGACAGCTGTTAGCCGAGATCCTATGCCACACTGGAGTGCACCAGGTCAGACGTGTAGTCGACCTCCAAAACACATATCATATGACCGAATCGAGCGCATGAAGCTCACGCAGGATGCTCTAGACCTCAACTACCCAGCGCCACTCATGTTCATGGCAACGCCTGTTCACAGCGGGCAGCGCAGCTTGATTGCTGAATCTATGGCTAGCGAAGCCATTGAGCCCAAGCACAGCATTTTGGCTGGGTGCCCGCTATGGGTATCGTTGTGTAAGCTTTACCTTTGGCGGCCAGTTGAGAATGTTTTGAGGGCGCAAGCCCCGGCCCAAGTCTCCACTTTCGTTGACGACATCTTGTTCGATCTCCATGGAAGCAAGGCTACAGCTAAGCAGGGGGGTAGAATTGGCTAGACTCGACGATCTCTGTATGAGGCTGTACTCCCAGCGGATTACAACTTAGATATAAAGGTTGTTCTGGGTTTGGTGCGCAAAGTAGTAAAACATTAGGTTTTAGGGGAGTAGCATATATATATATATGTATGTATGTATATATATATATATTGATGCACATGCACACACACACACACACATGTGTGTGTGCGGGTGTGTGTGTGTGTGTGTTTGTGTTCGATGTGTCGTCCCTTGTTGATCGAAGTTCCGATCCCTGAGCATTGGCCCAAATTTTTGCTTGCCAAAAACGGCGCTGGCGCTGGGACAAAGGACCATCCAGAAAGCTCCATTATCTCCCTGACTTCACTGGTGCACTGCAAAACAAAACACAGTTGAAAGCGGAGGACCCAGGAAAGATGATTGTTTACGATGCCAGACAATGGCAACTGAGCTGCAGTTTTTCACCGCTGCATTGCTCTGGTGGCTGCGAAAACATGTGTCATGGGTTTGATGCCCAGCATCATACTCAGGACTCTTCTTATGATCCTCAGGGTTCATGGCTGGTCACCGAGTAGCTCAGGGAAATGCAGCAACTGCTGGAGGTCGCATGTATTCCTCCCTAGACAGCGGTTTGACATCCTGCTGAGGTTCCGTTTTTCCAAAAGGACTATGTTGGGCGCTTCCAAACGCCTTCATCGCTGCCCTGCTGCACTGGATGCTGCGGAGGACCGTGTCGGGGTGGAAGGGGAACATGCAGATAACGTGCAGCATGCTGCAAGCACTGAAGAAGCAAGTTTCTGGTGGTACAGGTATACACCGGATGCAGATGGAGATGGTGTGCCAGATGCCATTCAGAACATGACAGGCCAGCCGGGGCAAAGACGCACTCACACAAGTTGCAAATTTCGATATTCGAAAAAGGCACCCCTGGTGCCAACAATGGTGGCGTCAGTCAGACTGCAGGTCTGTCCAAATGCTAGGCTTTGGGAGCCTTTTGGTTGTTCCACTGAGCATTTTCGTCAGCAGTAGGCTTGCAAGGAAAGGGCCGCACTAATCGGAGCCGGCTACTGGCTGGTGTCCAAATTCACTCCAATATCACTGCGACTGCGAATTCAAGGGAGCGATCCACAGCACTGGGAAAGTTGTTCCAAGTCTCCACTTGTCTCGAGGTTCAGTGTTGTGTCCGGGGTGGAAGCATTTCTTGGGAAGTGTTTTGCACACAGACATCCCAGACTTTGTCCAGCACCAGTCTGCCGGCTGCCTCGTCCTTGCACTTTGGCATGAAAAACACCTTGCCGTAGTTCTTCAAAGATGATGAACAGCTAAATACAAAATCGGATGCAACAGCAGTACGCGTTTGCCGGATTGTCTTACTTCTGTTCTGCCTGCCTTGGTTGCAAGGTGTGGATGTCATATGGTCTGGCTACACTTTCGTCCTTGGCTTTCTGGTGGTTTTCCGGAACAACCAGGTGGTTACTTTCTGCGCATCATCGTGCGTCCATGACAAGTGCCCGTGCAAAGCCTGGAGGCCTATTCCCGCTTCTGGGAGGGAGCAACATTGATCAGCCAAGTGCGTGGCGAGTGGCCGTGAGCTCAGACACCCGCCGAGAACCTGAGACTTTCTGGCTATGATTAGGCCTGTTGCATTCGTTGGGTTCCGCGTTCGAGAGACATGCAGCAGGTTCAATGCTGTCTCATCGCTGTTTGCTTTCACATCCCGGAAGCCCGAGAAGGCCGAGGAGGTGAGAAATTGCAGTATTCGATCTCTCGTGCTCATGTCCTTGCAAGATTCATCTGAGGTCTATGCATTCCGGCAACTTCTTATACGCCTTGCTAGCATGATGTATTGTGCGGCCCTCCAGCAGACAGGACCAGGCTGAAGAAGCTTTGCAGGGCAGAGGCTTGCCTTGCGAGGTGTGCGACACCGATGCAGACGACTCCCTGCAAATCCTAGATACAGTCTGTCACCCAGAAAGCCAGCTAAGTTGGCATGTCACTCTTTTGCATTCGGCAGAACACGCTTTCTGAGGAAGGCATTGCTCCTGGGCATCTCGAGTTCCTCGAGGCTGCCAATGACCAGTGCGAGGTGCGCCTACTTTCAGGAGGTTGCGTCACATGCTTTGCACCTGGTGATGCAGGTGCTGCTGCAGTGGGTTCAACAGCTCATCATCGAATCTCACGACGCAGGCAGAGACCACAGCAGGTGTTGCTTCGGCGAATGGGTTTTGCAAAGACCTGAGCGCTGAGCAGTCAGGTGTGGTGGACGTTCCCCCGCCTATTTTATCTCGAGCTTTCCAGGACATGCTCTTATGCCCACCAGGGTACATACTGCGTCGCATCAAGCTGGTCTGCAGGAGCTCTCACGCGGCATCGTCACACTGAACAATGCTCGAAAGATAAAGGAGTCAAGTGGGCGATGCACTGTCCAGAACTGCCTTCCTGAGATGGATGTGTGCGTGCGTGTGTGCGTGCGTGGGAGGGTGGGTGGGTGGGTGCGTGCGTGCGTGCGTGCGTGCGTGCGTGGGTGGGTGGGTGGGTGGGTGGGTGGGTGGATGGGTGGATGGGTGTGTGTGTGTGTGTGTGTGTGCGCGTGTGCGTGTGTGTGTTCGTGCGCGTGCGGGGGGGCTGGGGGGGGCAAGCTTTGAGAGGACATTCCGTTTCCTTTTCCTTACGCGCAAATGTTGGTGTGCATGTTGCCTGCCTCAGCATGGGAAGTTTCGGCCCCTCATCATCCTCCCGAGCCTGCGCGAGCCTGCTCAGGCTAGTTGTTCACTGGCTGGTGACGCCCATGCTGGCGAGCCTGGTGATAGAGCCCTTTCGATGCAACTAGACAAGAGAGCTGTTGGGTTTCAGTACCGTGCAAGAGATTGCAAACGACATTAAAGCTGTGCAGGTCGTGGTGGTGGGCGGCAGTTATGTCTTTCCTAGTCACAGGCCGACTATGACTACAAATTCCCGCAACCTTCGCTGCAATGTGTGTTCAGCAGACAAGCAATCTTCGCTGCTCTCGAGAGGATCTTTCTGGACGCTGATGCACATTGCTATGGAGATCGATCAGCCGTTTGGGGCAGATGCGAACGACCTCCCCATAAAGGCTGCCTGGATGCATGTCTTTGCTGTAGTTGCATTGAGAGGCATGCATCCAGACTGTTGCATCACCAGGCGATGATGAAAGACTACAACAGGAGATAACTTGTCAGCTCTGCCGGCAAACATCGCTTGTTTGATCTCTTTGGGGCTTCGAGCTGTCTTTCCTGCACCAGCCCAGTGCATCTGCAGGAGTTTGCTTTCGCTGTTAAACTCTGCCACCCAGAAATCGCCCTCCTTCGCCTTGCAGAAGATGAGACGTGGCGATGTTAGCGCAGCATGCTAGCGGTATGCGAGCTGCAGCGACGGAAAGGAAACAGTGAGATAGAATAGGCAGAGATACACTCAGAGCTTCAACAGGCACAAAAAAAACTATTGCAGCTCGATGCTTGAGCTTAGGACACCGGCCTTCGTGCAAAGCAAAGACGCGAATTTGACTTTCTCCATTCGAAAGCGGCTGATCCGCAGCACCTTGGTTGCTTGAGCCAGATCCTTCTCTCTGTGTCTGAGATTCTGTCTATTCAGGTTCTTCCGAGGAGGACTCGGAGTTTCATGTTCGAGAAAGCGAAAGGCTTCGGAACAGCGAGGCGTTCACGCGCTTCCACACAGACTCTGAAACTGGATGCAGTTGAGCATGGTCATGGTCATGGGATGTCATGGGTGAGAGTGGGCTTTCTCTGTCCCGGTGCGTAACACTACTTGTGACTGCAGCTCGCAAGGGGGAGGTCGTATTCCACGTCGTGAGTAGAGCTTCCTGCAAATTCGTGGGCTTGCAACCAAGGGCTCTGGAACGCCTCGCGAGCGGACACTTGGCTAGAGGTTGACGCGGTGCGTTCATCACAGTTCATGCTCGATGTCTGTGATGTCTGCCTGCATCTCCTTCCTGGTTTGTTCCAAGGACGTTCTCGGAACGTATGAATGCTCATGAGGTGGCACAGCAGTCCAGTCGTCAAGCGACGCTGTACTGCTCCTCTCTAAACCGTAAACCAGCCTGCAGCGGATCATTGCAGGCTCAAGCTCCTCAGGGTGCAGACGCAACTGAAGGCCTCCGTGAAGGTTTACTGAAGTGCTGAGTGGCTGTTAGTGACTCTTAGTGGTACTCGTGTCAACAGTACTTGTCACTGTGAGGACAAGACCCGTCCGACAGCAAGCTCGCCGTGGCCGAGGCTGTTGCTTTGCAGTTCAATGTTGCAAAAGCAACTTTGTGTGAGACAGTGCTGAGTTCATGGTCCAGGAGAGCTTTTCTGCGCAGAAGCCTGCGGAGTCAATACTCTCAAGAGGCCAGGCAACCTCTCAGGATGAGTTTGGACGAACCCTGTGCAAGCTGCAGGTTTTATTGAGATGATTTGAGATCCTAGATGCATGACACGTCACCTGTCAGCAGAGTGGCAGTCTCTACGAATCCCAAGATTTGGAGAGCCTGAATCTGCAGAAACCTTGAGCTGAGGAAATGCATGGCGACGCGACGGGACTGCTGCCTGGACCATGGGTTCAGGACTTTCTCCCCCGACCGTGCGACTCTTGCCAACAGGGCAAGGCTGTTAACGAGCCAACTAGCACTAGCCTATCCGTGGCTTCACCAAAGGTGAGCACGCTTCGGCACATGGGTCCGGTAAACCTCACATGGAGTCCATTAAACGTAGGATAACAGAAGACTTATTTGTGGCTATGTCAGAGGCAGATTCAATTGGGCTGCAGTGGGTCCGTGCTCATTGTGACCATCGCAACCTAGTATTAATAAAGATCCGAAAAAAGCACTTGAAATTTGTGCTGAAAGTGATGCAATGCTGCAAGCAGGCCGCATCGGCCGCGTTGTCTCCAATGAGATGTTGATGCATTCTAACTGCCAGGTCTTCTCGAAGAGAGTGGGCCACGAGGACAGCCGCGTCGGGTTCGAACGTGTTTGGCAGACAAGTCGCGGAGCATTAATTCCGACTGTCACTGCTAGCTGCTGCGAGAGCTGAGGACTCCGAGCAAGGAAGGACAGCATACATGACGCAGCAGCGCGGTGATCACCGCTGGCACTCAGCTCCAGCTGACGCTTTGCGGATTGCTTGTACCTTCGGACAGCACATGGCAAGGCATTTGCGTACAATGCACTGGTTCTCGTGATGCCAGACATGTTGTTGGTCATTGAGATCAATGGCACATTCGGCTAGTCCCCTGTTGTTCATAACTATACTGAGCAAGTGCTTTTGCTGTCCATGCCAATAATGTTACTGTCGTGCTATTGTTTGCTCGTATGATTGGTACTGTACGAGGTTGCGGAGCCCCACCAGAGTAGTGGAGAGTGGCACAGTCCAAGTCGCTTTCAATTTACCTTGCCTAGCTGCCGCTGGCCATTAACCCTAAGGCTCAAGCTGTTGAAGCCCAAAGCTTTTTCAACCCCTGCCTACGAGCCGCCCGAGTCGCAGCTGAACCCGAAACTTAATTGTGCCGCAAAGACTAAACTCATTCAAAAATGCAAGAGCCGCATCGCCCGCCAGAATCACAGTACCCCTCCCCCAGGCCCCATGATTCTTAGTGAGCAAAGTCCATGAGCTTGTGGGCCAGGCTGGTTTCAGACCACGGCTCTGAAGTGGGAGCTCAGCGTGGACATGGGCGACACCGACTTCTCGAAGTCATGGCCCTTAGTTGGCCCATCAGACTTTTCCACCATGTCAGTCACTCTCTCACTCTCTCTTTCTTCGCTCTCTCTCCCGCACTCTCTCTTTGCTCCCCCCCTCCGCTCTCTCTTGCTCTCTGCGTCTCGTTCCCGCTTGGGTCTGTCGAGGTTCCTCTCGCTCTCTCTCGCTCTCTCTCTCTCTCTCTCTCTCTCTCTCTCTCTCTCCCTCTCTCTGGCTCGCGCTTTTCCCCCCAGGAATCCAGCCACCCGCGGTAACATGAAGGGCATCGAGAGGCTCCTCGGCACCATGCTGCCCAGAATGGCAACTTACTGGTACTCAAGGAGACCATTGCTAGATATCGCGAGCAGTTCCGCAGCGTTCGAAAATGAGATTGCCGGCAGAGTGTCGGGAAATGTCAGGTCCGTACTGAGCACGATGGCCAGAGCAGAGGCTATCTCGGCCGAGAACGAGTGCCCCCGATTTGCCTTCAGAGCCGCAGCTGCTCACGACTGTCGTAAATGCCGTGTGCGAACTTACCTGCAGCTGCAAGCCTCAAGCAAGGCTCCAAGAAAGCTCTCAAGTCACATATGATCATATATGCTTGGTGCATGAGTTCTTAAAACTCTCGCGAGCCTTGGCTTAACATGGAAATGCTGAGAGTCCCCAAGATACAGACTTCTACGGTGCAATCCAGGGCGACTCAAACGAATAGCACGGGACAGCAAGCCCAATAGGGCTTTGGCAATGCCCCTCGCAACATGCAGCCAGCCTGCTTTGATCCAGCAAGTGGCCCAGAACCGGGCATTGTGGCGAAGTACGTGGAACTAATCTGGTAGCGCAGCAATCCAACAACATATGTCAGGTGCTCATTGCCAACTCCTCCCCGCTTGCATCGGCGAGTGCTCGGCCCAGAGCAGTCACACACAGAGCCCAGTAGAAACGTCGGCGTCGTTGAGGCCCGGCGATCAGCAATGCAAGAACGGAGCCATCTCCAGCTGCGCCTGACGAACCGAACTCATCAATTCCACAAAGTAATGGCAAGTTCTGGCATGTGGCTTTGGCATTGAGGCTTCACGTACATCTTCCGTGAGCAACTCGCGGTCGAAGCCTGACAGTCCCCTCCAGACGGGGCAGAGTCCTGTGGCATGTCTTGCAGGCCAGATCACATCAATGACAACACAATGTCAAAGATTAAGTTCTTCAAGGAGGTCCGCCTGAGCCTATCTAGCCTTTGAAATTTCAGTGGTGGTTCCCCTCTTTTGCGTTGTGCAGAGCTGTTCTGCAGGGCGGTGCAACACCTCCAGAGGGCTCCCCAACCAGTCGCCTCTCAGGAAGACGGCTTCTCAGTTCTTTCCTGTGAATGCTGGTGATGCTGAGTTTGTGATTTCTTCCAGACTTGTGACTTCTATGAAGTTCTGTGGATGGCAAGGCCCTGTCAGTTTCTACCCGGCTTTCAAGCCGGGTGCAGTGCAGGTGCCACTGACGACGAGAAACTCGTGTGACCAGAGCAGCCACTGTTTGGATCAAGTTGTTCTGTCGAGTCGAACCTGACATGCAGAGCGGAATCTGCCATGCAACAGCTTTGGCAAGAGATTAGCATGCTTTCCTTGAAGTGTCAGAGCCGTCCCTCTGATCCGATGTAACCCAGATAGCCTTCCCCGCAGGCATCAGGACCAGCTCCTCCACCTGCGGCTAACTCGCCAGAGCTCCATCAGACCATACAAACCGTGTGCGCGATCCTTGAGCTGCTTCGCCGAGCTCAGGCTGAACGGCTCTCCTTTCGCAATGTCACCGCCGCAAAGCGCTGTTCCCGGCTTGCATGCATGGCCCAGTTCTGCTTTAAGCGAAGCGAAGATCAGACCTATGCTGAAGCCCCGCCTGTGAGGTGGCGCTTCTTTCGCAATGTATGGCACAAAGCTTAGCACCGGAGTGCCATAATCATGGAAAGAAGCCTTACGGCTTGAAACTTGCCAATTTGCCTTTGGGGGGTCCCCGCGCATCCGGGAGTTCAGGTGCGCAGTTGCCTAGTTGCCTCGACAGATTAGGTGGCGAGACCCCTGGATCGAAGACACCAGGTAGCGAGCTCGGCTGAGCACATAGAGCACTGGAACTGATAATTCGCCTGCAAGGTGGCTACACCCCAGTAGCATTCACGCCAACCGGCTACACCCCGGGAGCGTACACGTTTGCGGCTGAGCTTCATTCCAGAAGTTTCACACGACAGAAGCTTTTCTTCTTGAGGCCCGGAGGTCAGCTCAAGAGGTGCTTCCCGATCTTTCGACTTGAAGATTTCATCATGACATTAGTTTTGCGCAGGGCCAACTCTGGAGCCATCACCCTGGATGCGTCGCCCATGAAGCATGGCGTCCCTAGATCCATTTCAGGCCTCGCCCTTAGTCCCACAACAGGTAAGGGCGCTGGAGGCTTGCAGAAGCCTGCCTGCAGCCAGGAACTCCGAGAAAATTCGGTGGACCTGCAGCTTCACCGAACTCTCGGCGAAGGAGCCCCCACTTCGCGACGGAACATGTAGTACCGGAGCACCGACTCGGAAAGGACGGAGACCAAAAAGTCGAATTCAAGAATAGATCCCGAGCAGGCGAGCTGCTAGCAGCCTCAAGGAGTCCAAGCTTTCAGAAAATCTTCCCTTCCAATCTCCCAGGTTCCGCGACCGGTTGGTCAGCCAGAAGCTGCCAAGCAGGAGGGTGGCAAGGCAGAGAGATGCAGAGAGTCTCCCAAGGTGATTTCAAGTCTTGCATCCATGATGATGCCAGGTGTATGAGACCACCAAATATCACGTGCCTCCGGCAGCTACAGCCGTGTGGGACCCGATTTGGGGAACAAACAGTCCACTGTGATGATGGGTGCTTGATGTTCGTATTCGTGGCGGTTCAAGCTGAGGTTTGCACCGTGGTTGACTGTGGTTCAAGCTCTTGTGAGTTCATTCGCTCCACAGCCAACCAGGCCAGGCTGGTCGCATGCCTTGCTTTGTGCTGCAGGCTGTTAGTCGACCTGGCATCTCGGCCAGGTGCCGGCCTATCCGTCAACTGCGAACACGGCGCATATCCCCATGGCAGTTCTGACCCCATTTCTCGCTCTCAGGCTCTGTTCTTGTTGGCAAACCTCGCAACACGCAAGAACTGAGGTCGTCTGCCAACCCTTTGCAGAGCTGACTGCTTTCGAGGCTTCCCCACGGATGTCCGGCGCCGTGTCGCCGTGTCAGTGTCCGAAAATCAACGAATCCAGAAGTTAAAGAAATCAAGTCTCGATTTAATTCTTCGGTGTTGGTGATTTACCATTCCAATAACAGAATTAGATCGAGTATTTGATTGCTTGTCGATGCGTTTATCCAATGGATGTAACTGTCTCGCTGCATACTAGCAGAATCTCCTTAGCGACCTGCGAAAACTTGCTACCAGGATACCTGACTAAATCATGATTTACTTGGCTGGTTTGGCGAAACATGATTTGACTGGACTTGTGGATAGCAAGCTCCCTCAGTTTGTGTGGATCTTCATTTCACTGTCGAGCTAGAATATCTCAGATGATGTTTATTGTTGAGCAAGGCTGCACTGTTCTACTTACTTAGGACTTATTTAATTTCAGGCTGAGGACTTTCAAGGCAATCGTGAAATTCGAGATAGAGTTTCACTGGGGCTCTTGGTAGCAATACACGAACATTTCGTGGGTATTTTCTTTGATTCAGTTCGAGATAGAGCAAGCATCAGTTTGGATCCTGCAACTATG